AGGCATGCCTGGTATACTCATCAAGATGGGGGTTGGGCTGGCAGGAGAACCCAAGAGGTGTGGGTTAGTCTAGATGCACACCGTTCTTGGTTTCTTCTATGTGATTCTCTTGCAGTCAGGTACCCAACATTGAATGGCAGCTCTCTGGACTCTAAAATCCCAGTGTCTGTGAAATACCAACATGGAAAGCTTTCAACCACTATGGAGATTGGACCAAAGCCACCTTATCAGTGAAACCCTTGCCTCATGGGTGGTTGTGCTCCAGTCCCCTGGCTCACAATCACCACCTCCTCCTCACAGTGCTCGTTTCTGCCCACAGACCCACAACACAGCTGGCCCCATGGCAGGTGAGAACCAGACTCATGTGACGGAGTTCATGCTCCTGGGCTTTTCCCATGGCCAACCCTTCCTCTTTGTTCTTTTCCTGGCCATTTACCTGGCCACACTGCTGGGAAACTCTGCAATACTCACCCTCGTGTCTCTGGATCCCCATCTCCACAGCCCCATGTACTTCTTCCTCAGTCACCTGTCCTGCTTGGATATTTGCTACTCATCAGTGACGGTGCCCAAGATCCTGGCAAATACCCTGCGCTCACAAGCAACCATCTCCTACCGTGGGTGTCTGGCACAAATGTTCTTCCTGATGGGGTGTGCGGGGGCTGAGTGCGCACTCCTGGCTGTCATGGCCTACGACCGCTATGCAGCCATATGCCAGCCCCTGCGCTACACCCATGCCATGAGCCGGGGTGTTTGTGTGGTGGCAGCCGCCAGCTGCTGGCTCTGGGGGATGCTGGACTCAGCCGTGCACACCCTCCTGGCCTCCAGGCTCTCCTTCTGCGGGGCTGCCCGGCTCCAGCACATCTTCTGTGACGTCCCTCCACTGCTGAGGGCTGCGTGCAGCAACACCCGCCCCAGCGAAGTGGCACTCCATGCTGCCAGTGTCTTTGTGGGCCTCAGCCCCTTCCTGCTTGTCATCGTCTCCTACCTCCACATCCTGGCCACTGTTCTCAGGATGCCTGTGGCCACCAGCCGGCGCAAGGCCTTCTCCACATGCTCTGCCCACCTGCTCGTGGTCGCCCTGTACTTTGTGACAGCCAATCTGAACTACAACTGGTCCAGCTCCAGCTACTCCCCAGCCACCGACACACTGGTCTCCGCACTGTACTGCATCGTCACCCCCATGCTGAACCCCCTCATCTACAGCCTCCGCAACCAGGAAGTGCAGGGGGCCCTGCGGAAGGCTGTGTGGGGATGGGGCACGCTGGGCTGCCCAGGCAGCAATGCATGAGCAACATCAGGGCCGCAACAGAGTGCTGGTCTGGCATAGTGCAGCATTGCCTGTCTGTGGGAAATCTTTGATGGCAGCAGTGAGCTCAGGGCTCCCTGCCCAGGCAGTGGCTGCTTGTGGCACGCTGCCATCACTTGTCTGACCCTCAGCACATCACTGATGGCAGAAAAGGCAAAATCAAGTTGGGAACAAAGCTACAGTTCCAGGATTATGTCTTTATTTTGCAAGCGTCATGTGCTGAGCTCAGCACAGGACCTGTTGCAGCTGTGCTGCTACCAGGGAATGCTGTAAAAGGCAATTTCATGTGGTACCAGACACGTGCTGGCCCCGAGCAAGGCTGTGAGCTCTGCCTTGGGGCTGCCCAAGGTGCTGAGCCAGGCCCTGCATGGGACAAGAGGCAGTGTCTTTGATTGCAAAATCTGGCCTCCACAAAAGGGCTGTCACACACACCATCCTCCTTCCACACATGCTTTGGCACGGAGTTTGATGTCTGCTGGGTTTCTCCAGGCTCCCATGAAAGCTCTGTAGCATTTTGTACATTAGCACAGCAGCCAACAGGTTAAACAGGCCACCATTATCCTCAGTGCTTTGGTCAAACAGCAAGTTTATGAGCACTGAGCTGTGAGCTGGCATTTCTTAAATCCTCACCAGAAATGTTTGCTTTGCTTTATAGCCATAAAAAAAATCAAAATGCAGTTGTTATGAGTGGTGTGGCCATGGTCGACAGTGGCTGAGGGCTGGCTGGTAACCAGGGGCAGCCAGCTACATCCAGCTGCCACTGCCTCAGCTTAAGCTCTTCTAGCAGGGGCTCTGCAACTCGGTCCAAGCTCAAATGACTGCATGAGTGTTGGGGCAATCCCACTGCTGGCCAAATCTGCAGGCAGGTATATGAGGGCCAGCAGCGTCCAATGCCATGGCAGAAGCCAGGAGCAGCCAGCCACCAGTGCAAGGGTGTGTGTGGGGAGGGAAGCTGGCACAGGCTGCACATGCAGGTGCATGCCTGCAGCCACAGCAGCGTTTCTGCAGCTGTGCCACAGAGGGGCACGTCACCTGGAAGGGGCCAAAACATGTTCATCTATAGCTCAGTTACCAAGAGATACCCTCCAAAATCCAGCCTGTACCCAAAGAAACCTACTGGATAGACAAAAAATAGGCCTATGAGGCATACAGCTTGTTGGGAGCAGTTTGCCAGTTCTTCTTAGTGCACAACACACACTGATTTTATTCTTCAAAGGAAAAAAATGTTTCTGTAATACATTGGTTGGTTGGGATGGCCTGTTGCTCCTACCCAAACAGGCTGCAAGCCTGAGCCAGCCCTACTTGCTATACACCCTTCTTAATTGTAAAAAATTATTGAAACACCCCTAGTTCAGAGTCTCACTAGGACACATAAGAGAGTCTGCCACAATAAGGCCCATTCTGGAGAGCCCCTTGGAGAGGAGTAGCAGGAAATAAAGGGTGAACTGCATGAGGAAAAAATATTATGAAAGTTATTTCAGCGAAAAAAAACCCCAAAACCAACCAACCAAAAACCTCCAGAAAATTTACATTAAAATTGACAATTTCTAACCTGAGTCACAATGTGTCTTTCCCATGACTGACAGACACAGATTGTGATTTTTCTCAGTATCAAACATTGAGCAGGGATGCTGTACTACCTTCCAGGTAGTAAAGTCTTGTTCAAGTGCAGGATGGTCCAGAACCAACCTGTGAGCAGAAGGGAACTCTAAAGGCGTCACCCCTGCTGCTGGCAGCTGGCACTGCCCTGGGGTGTGCTCCTGCAGCTTCTCGCATGCTGTGCTACTCAGTGTGAGTCCAATCCCTGCGTTATTCCTATTGTGATGGTAGTTGCATGCCACAAAGGGAAAACAACCAACTCCTACAGTGGCATGTTGAGCATCTAGCCTGGAATATACTTGTTCAAGGGAGGGCTTCAGTTTGCATTGGATTATTCCTGAAAACTGCTTAGAACATTAAAAATTAAAAATTTCCTCTTGTCCTCCTTCCCACCTGCTCAGCCTTAACCCACATGTGTGATGAAAGAGGGCTAGAATCAGGGACCCTTTCCACTGTGCAAGGAGCCGAGTCTACAACAGACACAGGGCACATACTGTCACAGAATAACCGGGATGCAATTTTAGGCAGTCTAGAACAGAACCAGTTTATTACTACAGCTATGACGGAGAGCACAGTCAGCAGAGTGACAGACACTGCTGATACGAACTCTACCCAAATGGGGCAGTTAGTTACAGAGTTTATATAGCCTTAGGTGATGCAACTCATTCTTCACCAAAATGTGTCAGATAAGCAGGATATTGTAAATAACAATAGCATTCTTCAGATAAGGAGGCTCTAGCCAGCACACTCGTTAACAAATAATTAACTCCTTTTTTAATGAAACTGGTGAGACCCTTACCTGCAAATATTTCTTAACTAGTGAGCCCTGCAAAGGCCTATGAGGCGTTAACTATTTTACTGCCACACCAGGGAGGCCTGACTTCAGCACAGGGACTCAAACCACCCAACAGCAGAGAGAACAGGCTGAGCCAAACACTGGACAGGGGAACCCACCCTTAGCACTGACTGCAAAGCACACTGGAGCCCTTAGGCTGGAGACAAGCTGTGTGACTGCTCTTCCCACCCCACCTGTGTGTATGCTTATTTATACTGTCAGAGCAGTTAACAGGAAAAATGGAGCTCTCTTAAAAATATTCTACTGCCTGTATCAAGCAGCACTTACTCTGATTCATTTGCTAGACTGAAAGGGTTTCCCTAGCAGAACATTCCTCTGATGGGCTGTCTGGATGAGGACCAAGACAGTTATTAATATACTCTTTCTTAAGTGAAGACTTTTAGTATTTGTCTCTTGCTCCAAGACAGATTTTCCAGAATAATTTTTCTCAGAAAATAATCTAATTTTTACACTTTCTTTTTCAAGGTTTACCCCAGAAGTGACACATCTCCCAGGAGCATTCTTGGTACACAGAGGGAAATCAAGCAAGTGATGTCCCACCTTAGCAAGATCATCCCACATTTTCATTCAGCCAGCACACACTTCTCTTTTTTAATGGAACAGTTCGCTACAGCCAAACTTGTGTCTGTGTGCAGGAAAAGTCAGCAGTGTTCACTGTGATGTTCAAACATTCCCAGGACCCAGCCCTGAAATCTGCCCAAATAGACCAGGTTCATATTTCTCTACCGTGTGCTGCAAACACAGTTCATCCTGCAAGTGGAAAGCCTTCTTGGGGAAAAAAAGGCAATTTTGACCTTCACAGTGCTCTTTTCCTTGACCCCTGGGCAGGATGAGATCCAGGGCCAGAGCAACTTAAAAAGGTACCATAGCTCATGTCCCTTCTGCCTTGACTGGATTAGAGATGGTGTTTCTTTCCTGTGAATTGCCCTGTTGGGAACAGGAATGGACACATTCCTGCAAGCTTGCTGGCTGACATGTGGAACAGCCTAGGTAGAAGAGAAGTCTTACATCGCACTCACATGCTCTTAAACCATACCACCTTACCCATCTGGAAGTAGATGGGAACCAAAGTCCTCTTGGGCACAGGCCAAAACTTTCCCTCAGACACTGCCAGTTTGCTCCTTGGTATTTCTTGCATGTAGACACGCCAGGCCAAGCCAAATTAAGCTAGTAACACATAAAAGGCTGAAGCAGAGAGAGGCAAAAGTTTGGAAGGAAGCAGCTTGGACAATGCTGGTTTCACTGCAGAAGCTTCACGTAATTTGCTGGAAAGAGGCCTACTTTGCCCCGGCACTGACCCCGCCACCAGCCTTCATCTACCATCTCGATGTGTGTGATTGTGTCGTCAGGATCAAAAGAAATCTCATCATCTCCATCTGCAAAAATTGTTCAGAAAAGATAGTCACAAAGATAACCCCAGAGAGCGCTGGTTTTACATTCCTCCTCCCACCCCACCCCCAGGAGGAGAATACAGAACACGCATTCTGATAACCCTCAGAGTTCATGTCATCCAACCCCCAAACAGCACAGATAAACAGAGAAGGAGCAAGACTTCACAGATGAAAGATGAAGCTTCTGTGTTCCCCAGTCAGGTCTCATTCTGAGAGGAATGACCTTCTCAGAAAAAGAAATTTAAACTACCAAGTCCAAATCTTTTCACCACTGCTGATGGTGTAAGCCACCACCTCCCTGTTGCACTGCCCCAGCCAGCTCCCCAGTCCCTGTCCCCACAGCCTGGATGGCAGACCCACCTCCTTGGTAATCATAGAGAGCCACTGCACAGGTCCCAGGGCTTTCCGCCTCATAAACATTATCCGTTTCCCCTGCAGAAGACAGGATGGGCAGATGAGAAAGAGGCTGAAAGGAGCCGTATAGATCTGGCCAGTGCCACCCTCCACCCAGGTGTCAGCCTTGGAGTGAACCACATCCAAATCCTATCAACAGGGAGAGGTGTACCATGGCTCAAAGCAAGGTATGACTTCCTTCTCCTTCTGCAATGAGAGAGGTGGGGTCCTGATGCTTCATGTTCTCCCAAGAAAAAGGCTGGACGTAACTCCAGCCTCTCCACTTACCATCTCCAGTACCAGTGAAGCTGCGACAGAAACATCAACAGCAGCCCATGCAGTTTGCTTATGTGCTTGCAGGAAGACTACCCTGCACTCCTCACACCCAGGAGACATCACCAGCTCAGGTCTCATGAGCACCAGCCATTTGAGCAACAGGCTGAATTAAAAGGGCACCCCCAGGCCTCAGTGCAGCACTGGCAGTCAGTTGCCAGGAAACAGTGCACCAAAAGTATCAGTCCAGGTCCAGCTTCTTCAGAGCCCATGGCAGCCCTCTGGTACTCCTGCCTGAATCCTGTTCCAGCAGAGATACTTGCTGCCTGGCCCAGCATCCAATGCAGCTGATCTCGCACCTTGGAGCCCAGCAAGGGAGTGGGCCTGCCACCCTGACCACAGTAGACTTCAGGATATAAATTCCCTCTGGAGTCTGTCCGATACATCCAGGTGAGGTGAGCGGACAGATACAAGCTCCCCAAGACGTGGGCTCTTCCATCAGTACTCACCCAGATGGGGCTGGCTCTGGCTGGGCTCCTCAGGAAGGATCACCTCATAGTCCTCACCTCCATCTCCTCCCTCGTCATAGATGGCATCCAGCTTTTCCAAGGGTGCTGGCAGCTCCTCATAGTCAGCACCTCCACTGGTACTGTCACAGTAGTCAGAGGGCTCTGGCAGCTCCTCATAGTCTCCACCGATATCCAAACCTTCACTGTAGATGGGCTGATCCTGGCTGGGGAACTTGCACAGCTCTTCACCCAGATCTGCTGGCCTTGGTGGCAAAGTGGGTGGTGTTTCCTCATCCTCCCTTTTTGCCTCCTGCCATGAAGTGAGAAAGTGACAGGAAAGTCAGCTGCAAAGCATCCACTGCAGGCAGCTCTCCCATGACTGCACAGCACCCATCACAAGGGAGCCTGCTCCACCACAGGTGTCTTTAGCGCTACTGTGACGCAAATGGAGCATCATCCTCTGCATGATGAGGAAACAGCTCAGCCATTAGGTCTGTGCTGAACTGGCACCTGGGATTGCTGTGAAGACCCTCATGGCTCATGTATTTGAACCTCTCTCACATACTTAGCTACAGCTTACTGTACTGCCACTGTACTGACCCACTCCAAGAGCCCGTCTCATGGTGTAAGGTGCTGTGCAGCCATGTCCCATCACCATCCCAACACTTCCCCCCCTCACTCTTTCCAAAGGCGCTCAAGGCTCTCCCACGCTGTGGGAGCCCCACTTCTTCCTGCAGGACTGCCTGTAAAGCACAGCCCCCTCTCAGATGCAATCCCCTCTGCCTGCTCCCCTTCCTGGCTCTCCCCAGCCTGCTTTGGCACCTGTTCTCCTTGTGACACAGGCCTGTCTCGGGCAGCGCTCCCAGGCACCCTTGCTGGCATGGTGGTAGGGGCTGCCTCTGTGTGGTCCTTCTCTCTCTGTGGGATTTCCTGCTGGAGAAAAATTACCAGATGCCCTCAATCCCTTTGAATGAGGACCAGAGCAATGTCCATTCCCATTCCCAGCAGAGCAACTCAGAAAGTTTTCCTTCAGCTGCAATCTGTTCCAGCTCCCATAAACCTGCCCTAGGGACTGGACACTAGCAGGCCTGTAACAATGATGGGGTCTGCAGAAAGTAGCCTTGAGGAGGGAATGTATCAGGGAGTGCTTTATTGGTAAAACCTTATCTGCACAATGAATGCAGAAATAGCACAATGTAGAAGGAGGTCTTGTAAAAGTGAGGGTTTGGGTGCAATCTCTAGTTTGGAAAATCCTGAATGCAGACTACTGGGATGGCAATACTGGGGAGGTGTGATTGCATTGTGTTTGCCAGGCACTAGAGGCAAGAAGCAGCCTAGGCCAAAGCACAGAGGGTCATGGCTGGGTGCAGGCACATCCTGATCTGTGTGCTGAAAGGGAAAATCCAGTGACAGCTGTGAAGTTCAATGGCAGTCCCTGAGAGCTGCAGGGAAGCAGTTTAGGCAAGAGGTTACTGCAAAGAGATCAGGTAGAAGGACATGGAGCTGCATGGACCTGAAGAAAAGTTTGGTTTGCAAGCCTTGGAAGACATGGCAAGATGGCCATGGCTCACCTCCCGCCGAGCTGCCTGGCACTCCCGAGCCTGCCGCCTCAACCGGTTCTCCTCTGCCTGCCTTCTGCTCTCCTCCTCTGCTGACTTAGCCATGTTTTCAAATTGTGACCGCAGGCTGCTAGTGCCACTGGAAGCTCCTGTGGAGAAGACAGCTGATCAAGCCTGCTCAATGGCTCCCTTCCACCACCCCAAGCATCCAGGAGAAACCCAGACCTCTGCCCCTCCCAGAGAAACTTGCAGTTCAGCCACCTTCTCCTGCCCCTCGACACAGGTTAAATCCACATCCCACCACAGCACATGCCTGCCAGTGTGCTGTCACAGAGGGACCATAAGGGCCACAGCTTCCCACCAAGCCCAGGGCTGATACTCAGTTGTCTCACCTGCCTCCAGTGGTCTTGTTTTCTCATATGAGGAGGTGGGAGCTGCCATCTCATTAAAGCCAGCAGCACTCTGCAAGAGGAAGTGAATGAAGTGTCCAGCTTGTTAGGCAAGGGCAGTGCTGAGATCCCCTTGCTGGGTTTGGCTACTGGTGACTGCAAGCTTTGTTCCCAGCTGTGTCTGTCCTCATCTGCACAACTGCCACAGCCCTGTGGAGGCTGCTGGCTGCAGCCCTGTTCTCCTGATGCCTCCCTGCACTGTGGGGGTGCCTGCTGCCCTCCAGCCAAAGGCAAGGGCTGTTCCTGTTAGAGTGGTGGCTCTCCAAGGGCTGAAAAGGCTACATGGAGCCAAGTGGAGGAGGCTGCACAGTGGCAACACAACTGCTGCATGGGACAGCGAGGCTGGGCATTCAAGGCAGAAGCACTCACTGGTAACACGGCAAAGAGCTGAATGGATGCCTGGCAGTCTACCACTTCCTGAGTTCCAGGGACCCGATGCATCCGTCCCCTGCACTCCCAGTGGTATGAGACATGGGAGCACTTCCCTATTGATGCACAGCTGCCTAACCATGAAAAACGTGCAGGTCATTGCCTGCTGTATGTGTATACAGTAGCATAGGATGGAAAACATCAAACTGAAATAGTGTGTGAACATCTGAGATATCGCTGGCTTTATGAGGTGTGAAGAGATGGCTAAACTGGTAATAGCATCAATGGGGTGTCTGCAGCAAAAAGAAAGTGAGATAGAGGGGCTTATCTACTTTCATGAGAAAACTATTTCATACAAAAAGGAAACTGCAGGTAGGATCCAGCTTTCAGACTAATACAGCTACATTTAGGGTTCTACCTGCAGGTGTCACCAGTGGGCTGGGTGGCCGAGTTCCTACTACAGTCAGTGGAGCCCCAGAGAGCAGCTCTGCTCTCCTTAAAGAAAGCACACCTGAGCAGGCAAACAGGACTGCAGGCTCAGAACCAGGTCTACACAGACCACAGCAGAGACTTGGACAGGTTGTTTATATGACAGCATTTAAATTTAGGAGTCTTAGTGTGAGAGCTGAATCCTACACTTAGTGTTCAAAACTTTATCAAAGGAGCCTGATGGAATATTATGCTTTACTCTGGAGTGACGAATTCAGCACTACTCCAGTGCCTGAAAACCAGGCAATCAAGAACTTCGGTACTTGCCCAAATACCCTTATTTTTACCATCTCTGATTATGCTTCAATATTCTCAAAATGCACAAATTCATGTTCCACTTTGAGCAGATCAAGAACTGCTTATCCCCTCTTTGCATCCTGCTCCTCAAATGACCCACAGCCCTGACTTTTGCACAAGTGCTCATCTGATTTTGTATGCTTTTTTCTGCCACATACATGATGCCTTGCCTTTTGACAATGCACCTTCACTTGCTGTTGTTAAATCCATAGCCCATGCTAATCTCTTCCATGGGCCGGATGCCATTCCCACTCTGCTACTGGCCGAGCCTACACATACAGCATGGAAAGGAACATGCTCAGTTGTTACAGGCATGTGTTTATGCCTCTCCTTGGCTCAGGACCCTGCAGAAAGGCTCTCAACTGCTTCCTCCAGCTCCCGAGTATGGCAATGTTGGTACTGTACCAGGCACAACACTGTGCCACTACCACTGTGCCCAATAGCAGAGAAAGTATGGTTCAGGGAAGGTACCCTCGCTTCCTCCTCCAAATGCTCCAAAGCCCCACCACCATCCAGGATTCTCATCTTTTAGGTTATCCCCATCCATGCAGATCATCATCTACTGGCAAGACCCCCTTTCCTGAACAAGCTTGCAGGGTAGCCTGGCAACGCACACCATTAATTCAAGTGTCTGACACAGTCTGCATTTGACTGTAGATGAGCCTTTGCCTGGTTTCAGCCCAGACAGAAAACTTGAACGAGCAATCTGGATGACCTCTTCTCATGCAAGGTTGATCCCTGCCAATCCCATCCCTGCTGGGTTTTGATAAGGTTTGCAGGCAGATGACTAGGCCCTGGCCTGAGATTTAGCTAACTGAACAGACAATAAGAATCTCGTGGACAGGACAGAAAAACCTGCAGAAGGTAACAAATAACAGAGAAGCTGATGAGTTACAGACAGCACCATGAGGAATGGCCAGATTTCATCAGTAGTTAAGGGGGAGTGATATGGGGCCAGTCACTCATACACAAAGCCATACCCGCTGATGAGTAGTATAAGATGACAAGGAGCCAAATACCAGAGAGGCCACAGATCTGCCTCAGATACTGGAGAGACCAGGGAGGTCTGCAAGTTGGCTACTGGGGGGACCAAAGATTCAAGCCAGCTTCTCGGAAGCCTTGTTTATTGTGTGGGTGTGACAGCTGCTAACAAACCTTACACCTTGAGTAAGAACACCTAAAGGAATGGCAGCCACAGCAATACCACCTTCTTGCTGGAGGCAGTCCAAGGCAAGAACCACTCTATGCATACTGCTCTCTGCACAATCATCACCCACCAGTCAGTGCTGGGGACATGACAGCAGACGGGCCTTCAGTCTGACCCAGCACCTCTCCTGTGTAAGAGACAGTTCCTGCACAGTGCAAGAGCCTGGGGCCTCTCAGACTTCTCACAAGGCTGGACTCCCACAGAATTTCATCTCCAAGGAACTATCACTGCTCATCCTGAATGTGCTGGTGCACACAGGGCCTGTAGGAGTGACGGCAAGCAGCCAGAACACTCCCAGTACCTCAAATGGTACTAGATATCCAGGAGGGCACAGTCTGATGCCCTTAGAAAGCTCTTCGCTGGCTCTGCTATTAAATCCTACACCAAGAGAAAGCAGGTGTACGACTATTCAGTCCGAGAGTGGAATGATTCAAAAGTAGCTGAGAATGGGAAAAACTTTGTCTTCCTTGCATTATGGTCTCCCCAGGCTGCATTCCTCTGCCCCCTCTGGTATTTACATTGGGCCAGTTCCCTCACCCTTGCAATAGCTGTGTACTGAGCAGTGGGACCTCATCTCCATCTGGGAAGTCTCTTCTCTTGCAGCAGTGCAAAGAGCAGTGATTAGCAGGAAGCAATTGCAGGCTGCAGCATGCAGTCTTACCTTATCTACTCTGTCCTTCTGGACCCCGTAACGGCCTCCAAACCCCTTGGCGTAGTCTGTATGGAAAAAAATGAGGCTATTTTATAACAGTTTATATTCTGTGTGCACCTCCAACTTCAGTGTGCTGTGACCAGTGAAATGAGTTAGCTTTGTCTGCATCTTATCACATATAGAACTAAACAGAGATAATACATGCAAAATGCTCTGGACAGTAGCTTTTAAGACTAATCCTTCATTCCTATCAGTGAAGTGCACAGGTGTTCAGCAGGGTACACTGGCAAATCTGCTTCCAAGGCACTGGGGTGAGAAACCAGTTATGCCATTTGAGTGCAAGGTGGCCTTGTTCACTCAAGTTCAACATAGAGTAGTCAAGCCATTCCTGGAACCTGCTTTGTCTCATTCCCATGTGCTCGCCTTTTGAATGAGCTTATGATCAAGAATGTACCATACAGAGAAAGCACAGTATAGTCTGGGAAGCCTGATTCAGGGACTTGCATTCAATGTTCCCCACTGATCCAAGCATGTACCTACACTGGCAGCTCACCCTTGTGCTTTGGGGCTTCACAGTGTCCCAGCTGCTCCACAACGTGCTGTACATATTCAGTTTTCAGCAGCTGGATCTCTGTCAAGTATGAACCACTAGCTCTAGGTCTGTGTGTGCTCTGAAGAAATTGTGCTGCCACCTCTGGCAACATTACCCTACCTGTTTGGGATGCATGGGGTTGCACTTCCTCCTGATGGTCCCAGCCAAGTGCACTCTTGTCCTGACGATCCCTCTGGACCCCAAACTTCCCACCAAAGCCCACAGAGTAGTCTTCAGCCACAGGGATCCAGATCATGACATGGAAGAGAACAGACAAGGGAGGGAAAGACAAAAGTGGCAGCACTGTGAGCTCAGGCTGTTCTCACAGGGGCAATATTTTTACCTGCCCAGGACTTGGAGAAAGACATAGAGCAAGGCCAGATTTCCCCACTGGTGATGCGCCAGCAGCCCTCCCTCCTCCCTGGGACACGTCAACTGCTATCAGCACCTTCCTGGGCTTCTCCTGCACCTCTCCTTTGGTGACATACTGCCCAGGAGATCCCTGTGCCCATAGAAATCTGCTGCTTCTCTTCATTTAGCCTGAACTTTTTCCAGCAGTCATGCACCATGCAATGGCTTTCCTCACCCGCTCCATTCCCTTGCTGCAAACAGCAGGCATCCAACAGCTCCCTTTAGCTTTTCCACCGTTCACGCAGCAGGTTGTTGCAAAAACCAAGCACAGTGGCCACAGCCCGGGTGGGCATAGTCCCAAGCTCCAGTCCTGACACTGCCTGCTGCATTGGGCTCCCCCAGCTCACCTTTCTGAGAGTCGTGCTTCTCTGCCTGGCTCTTGTAGTCGAATCCCACTGCCGCTTTGTCCACCTTGTCCCTCTCCACACCATAACGGCCACCAAAGCCCTTGGAGTAATCTGAGGTGGTGCATGGAGTGAAATGCTGCCCCGAGCATGAGGCTGGTGAGGGGAGGGGGTAAAGATGGGGAGCAGCACAGGGGAGGAGCACCAGGGAGGAGGAAGAGCAGCAGGGACAATGGAAAACACTAGAAAAAGCAAGAGGTTTGGAGGGGACAGCGTGGATGGCAGGGAGCATCATGAGGGCCACTGAAGATGAGGGCCCATGGGAATGGGTGCACAGGGCAAGTGTGGGTCATGGCAGCAAGAGAGCCTGAGGGCTGTGGGCAACAAGAGACACAGCAGGCCGAGAGGGCAAGGAAGAAAAGCGACATGCCAAGGGCAGCTGGGGAGGCAGCGGGAGCTCAGCCACCCAAGGATGCAAAGCCAAGGCAAGACTTGGGCACTGACAGCCTGGGCATCCACGCACTCATGCACCTCCAGAGCAAGGATTTCAACCTGTGGTCTACCAGTCTCTGAAAAGGCCTGTGAATAAGTATATTGAGCCCTTGAAAGTACAGAAGAAATGGCAAACTTTTGTTGTACAGCTTACATTTCCTATAATGGAATCTGAACTTCTACAAGGAAACCACTGACTCTGGATGCTGCAGCAAAGGCTGAAACCCACATTTCTGGAGACACGCTCCAGCTCTGTCTCTGGCACACTCGACCATTATGTGATAGAGGCACAGCATGTCTTCCTTACGCCTCCCCTTCTTCCATCTTCTAAACTAGTAATGTATTAACTACTGCAACTGAGTTCAGTTATTCTCTAAGAACTACCTTGCTACTATTGGCTGATGTCCTAAGAAATTTCAGCCTCTATCCTAGCTGCTGGCTGTATAGACACACTTTCCTTTCAGACACATGGTCTGCCAGCTCTGTTTCCAAATCCTACCCTTCAGAAGGAGTAAATCACAGTTACCTCTCTTTGTTCCCTGACCCTATTCTTACAGGTCTGCATTTCACAGGAACGAGCTGGGGCTTCTCCAACATATTCAGCCTTATCAATCCATGAAGATTGTGATCTAGAGAAATATGCATGGAAAAACTTTGTATTCAATAATGGCTCTCTGTTTCATAGAAGCTCAGTCACTTAAGGATGAATCTGTAAGTCCTAGAAATGTCTTAAACTTATCTTGATTAAACTATTATTTACCCAGTAGGCCATTATGAAATGGACCTTTTAGGAAGCTGTTTTCAGCAAACATAGATTTTATGACTGTTACCTTGATGCTGGAATTTACAGTATAGACACATTTTTATGAAAAACAATCCAAACATCTTACCCTGTTTCTAACATTTTCATTTTGACCTGAGTGATTTCTGTGCTTTTACAGCCTGATGAATTTCTATGTCTACAATCTAGTATACAATCTCTTGTGCAGGAATATGTTAATGTAGCACAACTACATGTGATTTATCAATTTACAATCAACCAAGAATGCCTCAAAACATCTTCCTTCTTTTATAGTTTCCTCTGAAACAAACACAGAATCATAGAACTGTTTAGGTTGGAAAAGACCTTTAAGATAATCAAGTCCAACCATTAGCCTAACACTACAAAGTCCACCACTAAACCAGTTAAGGGTACAGTAATAATTAATTTCATCTTTCCTGGCTTGGTGGCTGGATTATTTTTTAATGAAAGTAAAACTAGAATAGAATCATTAAGGTTGGAAAGGACCTCTAAGATCATCAGTCCAACTGTCAACCCAACACCACCATGCCTTCTAAACCATGTCCCAAAGTGCCACGTCTACACGTTTTTTGAACATGACTGAACATGATTTAGTTCTTCTTTTCTTGGTAATGGAGTATTCCTCGATTTATCTATCACCTGAAACAGTAACAGACCTTGCCTCTCATCTCTTCTTGGTTGCAGAATATTTAAAATATCTTTAGTTTCAGTTCTTGCAATGTTCTTAATGAATATAGCTGCTTGTGTGTACATGTCAAAGTTTGGTTGAATCATCTCCGGAATTCTGCAAAAGTTTGGGTGCTGTATAGGTTTTTGTTTCCATATCCATTGTTGTGCCTTTTCGTATATGTTGCTTTTTCAGAAATCACTTCTCACATCCTGTAGTGCTTGGGTTCCCTCTGGAGCAGTTGCTCAGAAGGACTTTTAGAGGAAAGGGAGCATCAGCCATCCATCGGGAGGTGTGCGCAGGGGAGCATCTTCTCTGCTCAGCCATGACGTGGTTTCCATCAAAGCAAAATGTAGAGACAAGAGGAATGTACAACAGAAGGGTGGTGACAGGACAGCAGGACATGGGCCCACAAAGGTGACTGACTGGGAACAGGAATCTGAATAAGTGACAGGAGGGGGATAACATAGGAGACTGTGCCACAGCAGACAGCACAGGATACTGGGAGCAGAAGAGAAGCTGGGTGAAGTATCAAGGGGCCACACATGCCCATGGACTTGCCTTTCTGGGACGAGTGTTTCTCCACCTCACCTTTGTATTCAAAGCCCAGTGCTGACTGGAACAAGAAGGAGAGGAATGTCGGTCATCCTGAGGGCCAAGCCGGGTCTCACCCACCCTCCTCCAGGGGCCAGGCTGGGACCCTGCTCCCTATCTTGTGCTGCAACATGCAGGCACCTGGCCGCTCCTCGGCTGGTACAGGCCTCCTCAGCCTCTCACACCACCCCTGCTGTCCATGTGGCAGCGTGCCCAGCAATGGGCCCTTGCAAGAGCCCAGGCACTCCAGATAAGAGGGCCACAATCCTGACCCCACACCCCGTCAGCAGGCAAGGCAGCTGGGCAGTGTCTGACACCAGGATGTGCACCAGAGGGATGGCATCTTGCTGTCCCCATCCAGTCCTGCCACGGCCAGTCACTGTGCATGGCACAGCTTGGGGGTTTGGAGATGCAAAACACTACAGCTCCGAACACAAACTGCTTCCTGGATAGGCCAGTGCAAGCATGTTAATGCACACCAGAGAGTTAATCTTCACAAGTGCCCTGCAATTTGTCATCAGTCATTGTCCTGCACACAGGAGGCACACTGCATACTTCAGTGGAGACCGTGGTGCATGATGTGCCTAGACCTGCACCCACCAGCACTTTGAAAACTGCAGCCACAATCCTAAATATAGCATAGTGTTTTAGGGGCAGCACTGAGTACAGGCTGCAAGTACATACCTCAGCTGCCCTGCCCAACACACCTTGTCAGCTCGGTCCCGCTGCACTCCATACTTCCCCCCAAAGCCCTGGGCTGCATCCGTCTGCGATGAGTGCTTCCCAACATCAGCAACGTACTCGTGGCCCACTGCACACTGAGAAGAGAGACGGCATGACATAAGCACCCACGGTCAGACTGGCAGGGTGGACAGACACATAGGCACCACACAGTTGTTCTGCCCTGCTGCTGAGATGCCTTCAGCCATGAGGTGACAGGTCCAAACTGACTGTGATGGTGGTGGCGATGCCTTCCGCACAGCCTTTGCCAGTACCAGCTCTGCTCTGAGACCTGCAATGCAGCTTCAAGGGCAGCCATCCCACACATCCGGCCCCACTGCCATCTCATGATGCAGACCATGGGATGCTGAATATCTGCTGCTCCCAAATGCCAGTGAAGTAGAGTGGTGGTTAATCACATGGGGAAACTAAGGAGAAAAGTGTTGATAGGCGTGCACAACTGAAAACTCACAGGCAGCAGGTCTGGTACCTGCTCCTTATTTTCTGTGTCTGAGAGACAGATCCCAGCAGACCTGGCTGGGATCACTTTTCATGCCTACCACAGGCCAGGCCAGGGTCCTGCTGCTCCCTGCAGGCGGTGGTGTGGCCAGGAACTACACACACTCTTCAGGAGAAGGGCCAGAGGCTGAACGCTTGCAACATCCTGGTAAGACTGGATGAAGGCAGAGGAGCTGCTCAACAAAAACATCCTCACCCTGCTCCAGCAGAAGGGTCTGAGCATGGCTGCTCCATTTTGGCCTCCTGGAAATGTCTGTTTCTCACCCTGCCATCCTGGTATCACGTACGCCCACAGTGACCCCCCCATATATTGAATACTACTGCAATGTTATCATCTCACTTCTGAAAAAAAGGAAGCATTAAATGCTGAAAGGTACAGGAAGAAGTGTGATGATGATGATCAGAAAACATAGAACAGATGTGATGTGAGAACAGAGAATACAAACTAGGGCTTCATCCTGGGAAGATATGACAGAGGTCTGTAATGGAGAATGTAAGGAAGGAATTATTCATTAGTTCTCCAAGCACAAGTAAGGAGGCACCTAATTTAATTGTTATGCAGCAGGTTTGAAACAAGCCACAGAAAGTCCTTCTTCACAGCTAAGGGGAATGTTGGAAGGAAGTTGTAGATCCAAATTATACAAATGGGTTCAAACAGATCCTGGAGACAGATTATGGGCTAGCTAAGCATGCGTGAATCTGTGCAGTCATGCCAGCTCTCCATTCTCTCCCTTCAGGGTCAGGCCAGAAAACAGGGATGCTCTTTCCTTTATGAGAAAAAGACTTTTCCACTGGGGCCTGAGGAAGCCCTCTACAACTGTTACCTTATCCATTCGGTCCCGCTCTGTTCCAAATTTGCCCCCATAGCCATAGGAGGCCTTGGGGCCAGTCTCCAGCTCCTTCTTCTTGATGACCTCATGTTCCTCCGAAACCTTGTTCCTCAGCTGATGGATGCTGGTGAGACAGAGAGAGTCAGGGCAAGTCACTGTGGGATTGTGCAGACCCATGCAGCCAGCTGGAGTATCCCTGTGCCACTGTACCAGCCAGAGCCCAGCACAGAGCAGGACATAAACCCCCTGCCAGCTGCCACCGTGTGCCCACACGGGGCCCCTCTGTGTGGTAGCCACACACATGTAGCCACTGCACTGTGGCAGGAGATGATGCTACCCAGGGGACTGGTGAAGTCCCCAGAGCGGTAGCCTCAGCGGGTGCATCCAGCCCCTACCCTGCAGCCCATGTTCAGGGCTACACCCTGTCTTCAACAGGAGCCCACGCTTTCCTTTTTCTGTGTGCTGCACGAGTCACGCTGTGCAGGGCAATACTGGGATGGCCAAAGGGAGCTGCTGGATAGGGTCAGCTTTGGACAGGGAAGGAGCAGGAAATCTTTGCCACAGGGACAACCGCTGTCTGGAGGTACTTGAAAGTTAACCCCTCGCAGCATCACAGGCGGCCTGTGAATTTGCCCCTGGTGCAACACCAGCAGCTCAAACCAGGAGCCCGCATGCAGCCGGCAGAGCCCAGGAGGGCAGGCTGCAGCCCGGGGCGGTGACACCGCAGCACCAAGGCGCTCCTCGCCCGGGGTGAGGTCTCCACTCCTCTGCTACCCTGCTGCCTTCTGGGGCCGGAGAGGTACCCCAA